CATATTGGGAAAAACGAATACAGAACTAAATAAATCAGAGTAACTAGGAACTGCAATACGAAAACATCAGTTTTTCACTTAGGAAGTAGAATATTTATTCAACCTATACAAATCTCAAGCAAAGCTATTTAAAGAAACAAGATATTTTCTGAATGTCTTAAGATCCGTGACACATAGATACACTTGAATTAGGCAGAAGACAATAGAAGACGTAGAAGACAAATATCTGGCAGGCACTGAAAATATAATGGGACTCTATATGCACTTAGCAAAACTTGCTAGGACAAAGCTTGACAAATTAGACAGAAAAAGAAACAAATTTTATCTCAAATTAAACAGTGACGTTAAAAAGCATGAGAACTTATAAACTACACTGTAAACATGGTCATATACATATGAGAAAGATATAAAATGTTGAGATAAATTGGCAAACAAATAATGCAAGCTTTGTCTCAAAATTATCTCTTTTCTGTTTGCAAAACTATCTTCTTTTTTGGTTTCCCTATTTTTTGTTTGGAACCTACTTCCATTATTATTTTCGCTCTTTATCGTACATAAATCCTAGCCAGGGTTATATCTATGTATAAATTATGGTTGTATCAATGGGTTCTTAAACAAGTTGGTATATAATTAGGGCGACATACCAGTACAAGCATTAGAACTGTTGTTAAACTAAACTAGTTCGATATTTAGTTGACGACTTTTGGTATATTCACAACAACAGTTTGGTTTTCGGGAGGTAATGGGTACTAGAAAAGCTCTGTTTAGCATAGAAGTGCTATTTAAAAGATGTAAAGATGTGAACTGCAAAATTTAAACACGCTTCATTGATTACGATAAGGCATTTGATTCAGTAAAGCATGACAAGCTGGTATAAATATTTACAGATATTGAAATTAACACCTGTGATCTAAAAATTATTAGTAATCTTTACTAATCAAAATCTTCCTTAAGAAAAATCGTACAGGAGAATCCGGTGATATCAAAATCAAACGTGGGGTCCAATAGGGATGTATACTATCACCCCTACCGTTCAACATACACTTTGAGGAAATCTGTCAAAAAGCCATAGAGGATGTTGAAGCTGACATTAACGGAGAATGCATTAATAACATCAGAATGTTTACCAAATGGAAAATCTAAATTGCCTTTTTCACTATTGTGTGAATTCGAAATGGAAGGACGAATAGTTTGTATTATTAGTTGTTAATATGGAATAGTTGTTGTATTTCCTATGTCTTTTCTTTTAATTCATTTATCTTTAACCGTTGCCTGTATTGTTTTTGTTAAAAAAAGTCGCTATGAAGGGCACCTTAGCGTGAAGCGTGTGTTTCTGTTTAATCCTTTTTGTGTAGTCACCCAATAGTGTTTTCAATGGGAAGGTTAGGAAATTGAGTGAAAGAACGAATAAACAAACGGTTAGGAAATTGTCATGAATTTAAAGAAAGTTGGTATTGTTTTTACGTATTCAACTAATTGTCTGGCTAAATAGGTCTTGAGGCTAAGGCAAAAAAAAACATCAGAATGAATAAAAAGAGTTAAAACATACACCTACCTTTGTATGAATATCAATGAAAATTGGGACCTTTCTGTAGAAATCAAATGTAGAATAGAGTAAGCAAGATCTTCTTCTCAAAAGATGACGCAGCTATTTAAATGTCTGCATTGATCAATACTCATAAAAATCAGGTTAGTACGATGTTACATCTTGTTTATACTGATTGTGCAGTCGTGGACTCTTACAGACACTAACTGCAAGAAAATTGAGGCTTTTGAAATATGGCTTCTTGATGGAAGATATCTAATATCGATCTCCTTCGAAAAAAATCAAAAGGGAATACCTGTGATAGCAGGAAATACGGCATCAACTTCATAAGCCATGAGAAGTCTAAATTTACTAAGTAAGATGACTATTTATTAAAAATATGTATTGAGATTTTGATAGCTTCAGATCATATATGAAATCATCAAAATTGTTAACAGAGGAAGAGGATAAAGAATGGGAAACAAAGAAATCAAAATACTCTGTAACGCATACGACGCAATATTGATAGCCCAAGATGAAGATAGTCTGAAAAGACTGCTTCAAAGATTTAACATAAGAGCAAAAGAATTTAATATGACAATCTCATCTCAGAAAACTAAGACAATAGTAGTCAGCAAAGACCCATCATAAATCAGCCCTGAGTTGTCCATTGTTGAACATAGGCTCCTGTAGATTTTTCCATCTGCTTCTGCTCTGAGCCTCTGCTATCCAATTGGTCACGATTCTTTTGAGGTCGTCGGTCCATCGCGTTGGGGGTCTTCGTCGGCTTCGCTTGTCAGCCCGTGGTCTCCACTCAAGCAATTTTTTTGTCTATCTGTCGTCTTTCATTCTTGCAACATGTCCAACCCATCTCCATTTTTGCCTTGTAATATGTTCGATAATGTCTTCCACTCCGGTTCGTCTACGAACTTCGTCGTTTCTTATTCTTATCTCTAAAGCTTATTCCAAGCATTGATCTTTCATTGTGTCCTTATCAATTTTTCGGCTGATGTTTTTGTGAGAGTTAAGGTTTCTGCTCCGTATGTGAGGACTGGTAGAACGCACTGGTTAAAAGCTTTTCTTTTTAAATGGATCGGTAGATATCGATTTATATAGATTTATAGATATATAGATTTTAAATGGATCGGTAGATCGGTAGTAGCACAGACCCAACCAGATGTAAAATATAAATTGATGGCATCAGTATTTAACAAGTATTTAAAATACAATACCTGGCAATTACACTTTCTAGCTATAAAGATCTGGACAAAGAAGTGAGAGATTACGTACAAAAAGCAAATAGACTGGCAGAATACCAGAAAATGTTGATATTGCCAATGGTTTAAACAAGATCACCGACTATTACTACTACTTTTTAGCATTATCTTAGATATGACCATTACAAAAGCTAACACAAAGCTGGAGGTTTTCTTAGAATTGTTCTTCTTTTTCCTTGTTTCTTCTTTAATATTAGTCAAATAAATTGTTTAACTTATCGCACCATCTCTTTCTTGTTCCGCCAGTACTTTTTGGACCGCCAATGTGTTTGTTCCACTCCTGTTTCCGTTTTGTCACTCATCCATTTATGTCTTCTATGTCGCATGCTCTACTTATGTTTTCGCTTCTCTCTCTATTCAACAGAGTTTTCTCTGATATTTTTCGAAGTATATATAATATCTCTGATATTTCTAGCAGTCGTCTCGTTTTAGATGTGTCAGGTCTAGTCTCCGCCGTGTATGTTAATATAGGTCTAATTGCTGCTTTATAAATTCTTGTTTTTTTGTCTTGTCTTAGGTGTTTGTTCTTCTCGATTGAGTCATTAAAAGATCCTGCTTCTTTCGTCTATTCCTAGATATCTAAACCTTGCTTCCTGCTTTGTTATTTTCCCATCAATTTTGATTTTATATTGTAGTGGGTATTTAGATATTGTCATACATTTGTTTTTCTTTTTGCTGATATTATCATATTGCATTTCTTGGCTGTTATATTATGATAGATATATGTTAATCTTTGGACCTCTTTCGGAGTATTTGGATTTCTTTGTTTTCCATTCTGTAACCATAACCTTTACGTTCGCCTTGTATGATTTCGTCCATTATTATATTAAAGAGAAGTGGGCTTAACGAGTCACTCTGTCTGACTCCGCTTTGTACTGCTGTACACTGTGTTAGTTTTTCATTTACCTTTGCCTGTATTCGATTCTGTAAGTAGATGTTTTCGATGGTTTATATAATATTGATTGGTATGTTTCTTTTATACAGTAGATGTAAGACGTCTTTAGCTTGGATGCAAGTGAAAGCCTTTGTCAGGTCTATTTAACATAGATATGCTGATTTATTGTACTCGATGGCCTTTTCTGTGATTTGATTTAGTACAAATACGATGTCTAAGCAGGATCTTCCGGATCTAAATCCTTGTTGTTTATCTGATGAAGTTGTTAGTTTCTTGATTTTGTTGGCTAGGACTTTTGTGGTAAGCTTAAGTGCGGTGTTCAGTAGATTTATACCTCACTAATTGTTGGGGTCTTCTTTATCTCCTTTTTTGAACATTGGTATTATTATGCTGTTTCTCCATGTGTCTCGTACCTTACAGTGCAATATTAGTTTTTGTAAAATTTTGTCATCTCCAGGTTTATTCTTTCTCCTCCGTGTTTATGAAGCTCGATGGTTATTCCTTCTGGCCTTGGTGGCTTTCTATTTTTAAGCGAATTTATGGCTATCTCTACTTCCTGAAAACTGATTTCTATAGTATATAATAATTATTCAACTAGGCTCCAAATAATTTCGGCATGCGCTGATAACACAATATGATAATAAAATTTAAAATGTTATTAACAGCATCAAACATTTAAGTATATAGAACAGTGATTGAGCTAACCATAACATACGGTTTAGAAACCTGAAGCATCACGAAACAACACGACCTATTAAAGTTTTTTTAATGCAAAACATTGAGACAAATATATAATAGCACAATTGGAAAACATTGAATTGGAATCTATGAGGAATTGAAAAGTACATACGGCTATTTTAGTGTAATCAATGGGATAAAAGCACAAACTTTTGCAAAATTTTGGGCAAAATTTTGCTGGACACAAATGGCGTTGCGCTCAATATTATAAGAATACAAAGTTGGACGGAAGATGTGATGGACATGACATTTATGAGGTATTATGAATCTAAAAAAAAAGAGAAAGAAAATGACCAAAGTAGCGTTCACATTGATTGAATGATACAGTGACTCTCTGCAAAAAGTAACTTTTTTGGGAGCAGTATTCTTAATACCATACGTATACATCAGTCGATAAATAAATAATGATAATTATCAAAACCTCAAAACAAAGTATAATGTTTAAAGCTTACATCAAATGGTAGGTATAAAAATTATACTTTATCTTGCAATTCCGTCGTTCTACATTTTATATAAACTACTTAAACGTAACTAAATTAGTCTAACTAATTTTGTTAATACTATTTTATGAGTCTGGTAAAATAGATTTCTTCGTAGGTGTAGTCTCTGCTTCTATTCCTTTATCCTTACTTCTGTACTCCCTCCAACCATTGTAAGCTAAATTTTGAGCAGATTCTTCGTCGTTTCTGAAATGAACACCAGATCCGTAACCATGGTGTGGATAGTCGTTATATTGCTGGTGTTGATAGTTAGGAGAATAATGTTGTTGGTAAGCAATTCCGGCTGGTGAATATTGTGGACCGACAGGGCCGAAGAAAGAGCCTGTAAAAAAACTTAATTTTATTTTTATTTACCGAAATATTACGTTTTATGACAAATATGTAACTTGAACTTTCAACAAAGTAATGTTATAGAGACCAAATTAAGTTTTGAATTTTTTTATGTGATTTAATATTACCAATGGATTATTGGCACGAATATAATAATAATTAAAAAGGGGAGTAATAACTTCTTGTTATAGTAGGTATAGCTTTTAGGTATAGTATAGTAGGTATAGTAGGTATATAGCTGTTTAGCTTTTGTTAACCCTTTCGATCCCATTGACGGATTTGTACGACATTAACCAGAAGTGCGTTGAATTTTACCGCTATATATATATATATATATATATATATAAGTTCTAGTTTATTATGCTCCTACAAACCCATGGCCATGTCGTCGGCTGTATGCAATAGTGACTTGACTCAGAAATTGACAAAATTGAGGTAACATCAGCAGAGGGCTTTAAAAGACCGTATTTATGACCTACAAAACTGGGACAATAACAATAGCAAAAATTTTTGCTAGACATTACTAGTGTCACTATGACATGTTGTCAGTACTGGCCCTTTTAAGTTTTGCAGTGGAAGTCGGACCGTGTCGATATCAAGTTTCTAAGCAATACCGACACTTTTGAGTTATGCCACTATAGCAGACAATTTTAGATATTTGAAACTGTAACAGTGAGAATTTTAGAGTTGTGTTACATAAACAAGAGAAATAAATTTATTGTTTTTAAATTATCATATCTAAAGGGTTATCAAAAAATAGGTGAATTAATCCTGTCTCAAGCAGAAGTAACGTAAGTAATAATATTAGATTATTTTAATGTATAATTTCAAACATTCTATTAAGTAGAAAACTTTCGATGATTTTTTTTTACATCTACCGGTTAAAGCAAAAAATAAACCCATTTTAGTTTACACCAACTGGATCGCAAAGACAGGATCGTCTGTTTTAGGGCATTTTAGGTGATAGAAGAAAAGACGATTAATAAACCTAAAAGTAGAAAAAGAAAGGCTTGTTCGGACTAATGGAAAAAATGTCAGAAAGTTTCTTAGAAATTCAGGCCAAAAATACACCAATGTTAACGGTAATCTTGTACAGGCTCGCAGTTGAGGTTCATCCTACAATCCATATAAAGTGAAATGTCATGAAAATTCACGTTACAAAAATTCAATATTATTATCTAATCTGAATACCCATCATTAACTTAAATAAAAACACAATTGCTTATTACTTATATCTGTAAGCCAGTTTGAAGTTCTCTAATCCTATTTGCTTTTCCCATCTTATTTCAGATTTCAATTTGTTGGAAAAGCGCTCAAAGCCATCAGACGCTTTGCTTTTATTGTTTCTGAAGTCTTGCATTGACCGATAGAGCATTATGAATATTCTATCGATTGCACAACGCTGACTACGAGAGGATGTACACGAAGGACTTTATTATATAATTAAAGCTTTATAATGACCGCATCGTTTGATAAAGGACCTGTATTTGCTTAACGACAATGTAGAATGAGCGTGTTATGACAAGCGCAAATAAAACAATTTACAACAATACAATTGGTTGAATTTACAGGAATTTCAGAAACCATATCTGAGCATCCATTCATCATATGATACAGTGCTTTACAAAACCACTTAAAAATATTTTTGAGGAGTTATAATCTTTTTAAAACGTGCTAAGCAAATAAATTTAACCACTGTTATAACATCTTCTTCTTCAGCCTTCATTTATCCAATGTTGGACATAGGCCTCCTCCAATTGCTTCCACGCTTCTCTATCTTTTGGAATTCTCCTCTACTGCTTTCCAGCTACAACAGTTATATCGTCTATCGATTTCTTTTTAGGTCTTCCCACGCTTCTTTTTGTTTCTCGAGGTCTCCAGAATGTCACTTTATGAGACCATCTGTTGGTGTCTTGTCTTGCTACATGTGCTACCCATTGCCATCTCAATGTCTCTATTTTCCCATGATGTCGGTTTTTCCCAATTTTGTCTCTGAGGCTTATATTTAACATGGCCCTCTCCATGGCCCGTTGAGTTACTCTTAATTGTTCTGCCATGTTTCTTGTTATTGCCATAGTTTCCAATCCATAAGTTGCAACTGGTAGTATACAAGTGTCATAGGTTTTTCGTTTTAAGTGAATTGGGATTTTTCTGTCTTTTAAAATGAAGCTCAACTTACCAAAAGCAGCCCATGATAATTGTGTCCTTCTTTTAATTTCTAGGGTTTGATTTTCCTTTTCGTTTTTAATTGCATGTCCTAGATATATATATTTTTCTACCTTTTCTATATTGATGTTATCTATCGTGATGTTTTCTAGGCTGCTGCTTAATATTTTTGTTTTGTCGAGATTTATTTTTAATCCTATTTGATTCGATTTGTGATTTAAATCTTGTAGCATTGATTTTAGTTCATGGATATCTGTGCTTATTAGTACTATGTCGTCTGCAAAACGTAAATGGTTAAGATATTCTCCATCTATTTTTAATCCATTTTCGGTCCAATTTAGTTGTTTGAAAACATTTTCTAATGCCAAAGTAAATAACTTGGGTGAGATGGTGTCGCCCTGTCTCACACCTTTGCCAAGGTCTATTTCCATAGTTTCCAGATCATCATCTATTTTTACGTGAAAAGTAGCATCATCGTATATATTCTTAAGGAGGGCAGCATATCTTGAAACTACTCTGGCGTCGTCCAATGCTGTTAAGAAAGCCCATTTCTCGATACTGTCGAATGCTTTGTGATAATCGACAAATGCCAGATGTAGTGGTATGTTGTACTGTATTGTTTTTTCAATAATGGTCCGAATTGTTTGCATGTGATCGATAGTGCTAAAACCCTTACGAAAGCCTGCTTGCTCCACTGGTTGGTATGCATCTAGTTTAGCTGTCAATCTATTTGTTATTATTCGGGTTAGTAGTTTGTAAAGGTGTGACAATATCTGTATGTGTTATAACATACAGTGTGGAAACCACTTATGGAATAAAATTGTTTGTGTCCTTATTTTAGAAAATAATAAAAAACGTTGAGATACCATAACTTTTAAATTTAAATGTGCGCTTTTTAAACATAAATTTGAATGTATAGGGTGATTCACGCAAGTCTGGCATAGTCCATAATCTGTATTTTAAATGAAACACCCTGTATATCTTTACGTAAATAATACAAGGTGAAATTTTTAAATTAAGTATAATTTCCTTCAAGACAATTAATTCATAGAATACCTGAGCTAATTGATTGGATTACCCACTTAGTTTAGAGTGGATTACCTATAAAGCGTATGATAATACGCTTTATTAAGATCAATGAGTAGTAATAAGCATATGTCTCTTAACTCCCATTATTATATTTTTTTTCAGTTAGCCATTTATTATTATCTATTGACTAAATATTGACAAAAATTGATACTTTTTTTCTTACCTCCATTTTGTTTCAGAATTGGTTTGCAGAAATTGAAAAATGCAATAGCTCCTGGAATAATAAGTGCAAGAAAGCCGAGTAGTTTCTTGAATGAGGCTAGTCCCAAAATAAGCGGAAGGAAAAGTAATAACTTCAGTTTAAACAATTTCAAAACCAACAGCAGAGGAATGAAGAGCTTCTTCAATTGCTTTCTTTCTAAAATTATAAAAAAGAATACAAATTAATGTATATAAAATATGTTGATAGAAAACTCATTCTCTTTGAAACCCTGTAATTTTTAAAGTGTTTTTAAAATAAAATCTTTCCTTTTGTTAGTATTGAATTTACTCCATCCTGTATGCCATGTTTTCTAATGCTCCTTTATCCGATTCTTCTCGATAGACGATGGTAAATAAATGGTTGAAGTGTGGAATAACAATTATAGTTTTATTGCCAGCTACTAATGGTTACGCTCTAGTTGTTACGTGATAACAGAGGCAAGTAATGCTCTTAGACTGCACTGGGAACTCTTCAGAGCGGCAGCATCATCAGCGGCAAGATCAGAATAGCCATGATGATTGTCAACCTCCGTCGCGGAGATGGCACGTAAAGAATAAGAAGCTAGGTAAAACTTAGTTATAACTTGAAAAATAAAAATACTTACTAAATAAAGTATCTTTTTTATCTTCTATAATATCGATTTCTCCTGCAATTTCATCAATAAATCTGGGTGAGTATCTTCCCCTCTCCGTAACTTCTTCGTCAAAGTCAAGCTCAAATACGGTTGACTTTAAGAACTTTTCTAGCTAAAACATAACATAAGCAACTTATTAGTCAAAGAAAAAAATATTTTATTTTTGTACATTATGATTAATGAGAATGAACCACAATTTCAGTCAAAATAAACTTTTTTTCAAATAAAATTGTGGTTTATTTCTAATGATGTTTAAAACACTACAATATATTTAAAAAATAACTGTGGAACAATAATAAACGGGGATTTTTACAAAATAAAAATAATTAATACTTAAAAATTTCTTTTTAAATTCACAAGTATTGAGATTCTTTAAATTCTTTGTTTATTATGGCTTTCCACATGAAACATATCGGGGATAGCTTTCTTATGATCTCTGGTAGCATTATTTTATGTATTTAATAGTTTTTACCTATGCACAGCTACATAAGTACATTCTACATTAATAGTTAGAAAATACTCTATACACATATTATAAGATAGGTACTTATCTACCAAGTAAACATGTTTGTCATCGCAATTACATATCCAGAGCTTTTCAACTTTGAGCATACTTGACATAGTTGTTCATGTACGAAGGTTTCAATATAGTAAAATACTTATAGCAGAATGTTAGCCGAATAGCATGGAAGTCCGTAAAAGTTTGGTAGTAACGATTTTTATGGAGACATGCAAAGTTACGGAGCAGACAAAAGCTGGTTTAAATTTCTTTCATATTAAACTATCAAAAGATGTGCGGTAAAATAATAGTGAGTCTTATTATTCTTTTATTTTGCTCTTTTAAAACAATATTTAAACCATTTGAAACCATTTAAGTTCACGTATTTCTCGTGTTTTCGTTTGATTATGTTGTTGAACAGAAGATTTATCTTGTAAATAATCAATACATACCTATCTCTTGTATGCCATATTAATACACACCTAATGTTATTTCTCGTACTATTTTATACACATCAGTATTACGTACAGACCTTGTTAAACTTAAGATTTTATGACATCCGTTGTAAATAACTCCAAGCTCTTTTTATGTGAGTTTAAAAGTTATTTTGTCTGCTTTATACCCCAAATCTCTTCTCAGAGTACAGACGTTTTTTAGTATAATACCAAACCCTTTTTTGGCCATATGTTTGCTACTTAATATTCTGGGAAGGTTCGGGTAAACACAAATTCTTTCCCTACTTCAAAATAATTGCTTTCGGAAAGAAAGGAACGGCTATGGAATTTTAGGCAAACGGAGACGTAATGTTGGCATATTTGAGGTAATTGAATTATCGTTATCGTCGTTGTTGCCAAATTACTATAGTGAGAAAAGCGGATATAACTCTTGGAAAATTTAGAACGAGCATAAAAGTGAGAACTAAGCAGAAATTATATTTTTACGCTAATATTGGTGTATTAAAAAAATGAAAAAAATCAATTAATAATAGTTAAAAATGGCCAAAACATTGAAGTTAAGGAGAAAAATTATGTGCACTAATATCTTATTATAAATCAAACGAAAAGCATTTACGATTTGCAAATAAAAACCGTTAATATCCAGTAAATTAAAAGAGTAAAACTATTAAGAGCTTAAAACTTTAACTGGCAGGGAAATTCAAAGTAAATTTTGTATCGGCTCTTCTGGGCCAAAATATTTTTTTATTGTTAATTACTCTATTTGTTGATGGATTCGACCGTTACTTGATGGAAATTCATTTTATGTAACAATAAAACACTGAAAACTTTGTTTTCAAACTTCCACAAAATTTATTTGAAATATTATCACTACAGCTGTTTCGGCTGATTGCCTTTCTCAAGTGATCTATTTTGGCTTGGGTTTACAAATTTATAGTCTCTAATGAAATAGGTTGAGGAGGGGAGAACTGTTTGTCTCAAGTTGGTCATTCAAAATTATATCTGTGTTTTTTAATTTGTTGATTTCCATAGATTCTAACAAAGATAGCTTAAGGCCTTTATTTTGAATGTGAAGAATTTTAAATTTGTCATTAAAAGAATGATTATGATCTAGAAGGTGAAGTGCGTATGTCGAATCTGTTTTTTCTATTCTTGAAAGCCCTTTTATGTTCTGCTATTCATTTATCAAAGTTTCTACCAGTTTGACCGATGTAAGTTTTTGGGCAGTCGCCACATTCAAGTTTGTTCACACCACTATTTAGGTGTTTTTTATTTTGGCTCTTGTTATTTTTAATATATTTGCCTAGGTTGTTATTTGTTCGGAAAGCTGGTGTTATTCCTTTCTTTTTTATGTGTTTGGCAATTTTTGTTGTTATTTTGCCTGTATATGTAATCGAGCAGAAGGTACTGAGTTTTTTTCTCTGTGGTGGAAATACTAATTTCAGGGCTTTCTTGTGTAGTTTTTGATTTAACATTTTATTAATTGTTTGTTCGTTGTATCCGTGGTTTACTGCTATCTGCTTAATTATATTTAATTCTGTCTCAAAGTTGTATTTTGACATAGGAATTTCTGTTAATCTATGTAACATACTATGATAAGCTGCCAGTTTATGTTGTGTTGGATGGGATGACGAATTGTGTATAGTCGTGTCAGTATGGGTAGGTTTATGAAATATGGAGAAGTCATGTTTGTTTTGAAGTCTGCTAATTTTTAAATCTAAAAAATTTATGGATTGATTTTGTTCTGTTTCTATTGTAAATTCAACATGACTATGAAGTGAATTAATATATGATAAAAATTGGTCCAGTTGCCTGTTAGTTCCTGTGAAACATACCAGTACGTCGTCTACGTATCTCCACCAATATAAAAACTGTTTGAATACGGGATGTTTTGAAATCTTTGTCTCTAGATGATCCATAAAAATATCTGATAGCAATGGGCTTAGAGGATTACCCATTATAAGTCCTGCACTGTTATTTGTATAAATTTTATTATTAAAGTCAAAGTAGTCCTGGTTTATGCAAACTTCAAGAAGATGTAAAATTTCAGATGTAATTATTGGATTTGTACTATTTTGGTCTAAAATGTTTTTTACTGGAATAAAAGTTTCTGTAGGAGGGATACTAGGAAATAGATTTTTTACGTCGAATGAAATTAATCTGGAGTTGTTAGGTAATTGAAAATGTTGTATTTTATTAACTAGTTCTATTGTATTTTTTATGGTAAATTTAGGTGAAAATTTAGTGTGGTCTAAAATAATCTCTAACAGTTTTTTTGAAATTTTATATGACGGAGCTGTATAAAAAGAAACTACAGGTCTTATTGAAACTTTACACAAAGATCCGACAGAAAAAAATTTTAAAAACAAATTAAGCTAGCGTTAGAAAATTCAAAATCAATACTAAATCCAATAGAACAGAAATACCTCAGTATCATGAACCCACAGCCTCCTAAATTATATTCTTTCAATAAACTACACAAACCGGATCACCCAATAAGACCTGTAGTTTCTTTTTATACAGCTCCGTCATATAAAATTTCAAAAAAACTGTTAGAGATTATTTTAGACCACACTAAATTTTCACCTAAATTTACCATAAAAAATACAATAGAACTAGTTAATAAAATACAACATTTTCAATTACCTAACAACTCCAGATTAATTTCATTCGACGTAAAAAATCTATTTCCTAGTATCAGTAGTATCCCTCCTACAGAAACTTTTATTCTAGTAAAAAACATTTTAGACCAAAATAGTACAAATCCAATAATTACATCTGAAATTTTACATCTTCTTGAAGTTTGCATAAACCAGGTCTACTTTGAATTTAATAATAAAATTTATACAAATAACAGTGCAGGACTTATAATGGGTAATCCTCTAAGCCCATTGCTATCAGATATTTTTATGGATCATCTAGAGACAAAGATTTCAAAACATCCCGTATTCAAACAGTTTTTATATTGGTGGAGATACGTAGACGACGTACTGGTATGTTTCACAGGAACTAACAAGCAACTGGACCAATTTTTATCATATTAATTCCCTTCATAGTCATATTGAATTTACAATAGAAACAGAACAAAATAAATCCATAAATTTTTTAGATTTAAAAATTAGCAGACTTCAAAACAAACATGACTTCTCCATATTTCATAAACCTACCCATACTGACACGACTATACACAATTCGTCATCCCATTAAACACAACATAAACTGTCAGGTAGTGTGTTACATAGATTAACAGAAATTCCTATGTCAAAATACAACTTTGAGACAGAATTAAATATAATTAAGCAGATAGTAGTAAACAACGGATACAACGAACAAACAATTAATAAAATGTTAAATCAAAAACTACACAAGAAAGCCCTAAAATTAGTATTTCCACCACCAGAGAAAAAACTCAGTACCTTCTGCTCGATTACATTTACAGGCAAAATAACAACAAAAATTGCCAAACACATAAAAAAGAAAGGAATAACACCAGCTTTCCGAACAAATAACAACCTAGGCAAATATATTAAAAATAATAAGAGCCAAAATAAAAAAACACCTAAATAGTGGTGTGTACAAACTAGAATGTGGCGACTGCCCAAAAACTTACATCGGTCAAACTGGTAGAAACTTTGATAAACGAATAGCAGAACATAAAAGGGCTTTCAAGAATAGAAAAACAGATTCGACATACGCACTTCACCTTCTAGATCATAATCATTCTTTTAATGACAAATTTAAAATTCTTCACATTCAAAATAAAGGCCTTAAGCTATCTTTGTTAGAATCTATGGAAATCAACAAATTAAAAAACACAGATATAATTCTGAATGACCAACTTGAGACAAACAGTTCTCCCCTCCTCAACCTATTTCATTAGAGACTATAAATTTGTAAACCCAAGCCAAAATAGATCACTTGAGAAAGGCAATCAGCCGAAACAGCTGTAGTGATAATATTTCAAATAAATTTTGTGGAAGTTTGAAAACAAAGTTTTCAGTGTTTTATTGTTACTCTATTTGTGTTTGTTTTGATCAAAAATCATAAAATCAGACTTGTTTTTTGTTTATTTTTGTAAGAATTGTTGTGTCTCCATATGGTGAACGCAGCCTGCGATTGTGAAATTGTTACTAATGTCTAGTTACAGGCCACGTGTGC